CCCCCCCTCCTCCGAGGATGCCCTCGACCCGCCGACGACGGGGAAAAGCGCTGGGGCCGGCGGATCGGCCGCTTCGCTTCCCGCCGGCCTCGTCGACCCCTCGACCGCGGATTCCACCGCGGCCGTTCCCTACGCGAGCAGCCTCGCCTGCGCGCAGAAACGACGCCGTGAGCGGGTCTACAGCGTTCAGCTGCAGTTCTCCCCTCCGGACGGCGGGGATCCGCCCTCGACGATGGCGGGATCCGGGGGGAAACTCGACGGGTTTTTCTTCGCCAACCCGACGGCGTCGATCGCCGTGGTGCGGAGTCTCCTCGCGGAGGTCTGTGCGTTGCTGGAGTACTACCAGGAAAACCCGCCCCTACGAGGGCACCCCGCGCCTTCTGCCGGCGGTTCGGCCGGGGAGCCGAGCAGCCACGCCGCCTTCGCCACGACCCCTGCCGCGATGGGAGGGGGGGATTACCTCCAGCGGCTCTGCAGCTCCTTCTCGCGTCACGCCGAGCGGGGTCGACGCTCTTCTTTCCTGAAAAGCCTGCTCACCATTCCCAGCCGTGGGAGCGCGAAGAAGCTTCCGAACGCCGAGGGTTCCCACCGAAGTGCGTGGATCGACTTGGAGACGGTCGCGTCGACGGCGATCTTTCTCCCCTCCGATCCGTTGATGTCGCACGAGATGCAGCTCCATCTCATCCACCGTCGGATTCTCTTCAAGGCGCTGCAACGCCTCTTTTTCAGCGTGCTGCTCCTCGTCTTCAACGTCGAGGAGGCAAGGATGCGGCCGGAGTCGTACACGGAGCTCTACGCGCCGTACTTCGCCGCCGCGGGTGGGGAGGCCGCCTTGTCCGGCAAGGCCGACGACGAAACGGAGAGTGGGGTTAGCAATGCCCTCAAGGGGAAACGCTACCGGTATTTAGAGGAGTGCTTTTTCTTCATGGCGTTCATTTATGCCGAGCTGGACGGGTTGTCTAAGCACGGCTACGAGGCGTGCACGGCAGCCTTGATGTACGCACCGCACAACGCGGCGCTTTGGATGCTTCGCGCGGTCTTTCTCGCCCGCCTGAAGTCTTACAAAGCCGCACTGCAGGACCTCGACATCGCCACGACGCTAACGGAAACGCGGCTGAATCAGCTGCGCCTGGCTCTGGTCGAGAGCAAGACGCCGCCGCACCTGCAGCGCGGGGATAACTCGTCAAAGAAGTCTAAAGTTTCCCACAGCATCCCGGTGGAGGGCAAGGCGCATCCGCACGCCAGCCAGAGCTCAGTGGCAGGAAATGAGAGCTCGATGGAGCTGAAGGAGGATATCGAGGCGTGTGAGCAGCGCTTGCAGGATATTCATCGCCAGAGGTTGGGCGTGAACGACCTTGTCGGGGAGCTTCAAGGCCGCCGGGCCATGCAAAAGTCGCTGAACCTATTGGGCTCCACGATGGGGGGTGCTTTGAGCCACTGGGCATCTCTTCAATAGGAGTGGGGTAGTAATGTATCTATCTATCTATTGATCTATCTATATAAATATCTATATTTATATAGATATAGATATGGGTATCGTTTCGTTTCCCCTTCCTTGACCTTTTCTTGCTCCCTTTCGATGACCCATTGTTCCAACTGAAGGGATATAGAGAAACTAGAAGAATTTTGTTTTGATTTTACGAGCAGACGTGAGGTTTTATTTTCCCTTTTTGATTATTGTAGGTGTATAGATTTTTATGTTGGTTAAAAAGATGGCGTTACCATTCACGAAAGTAAAAAGGAAAGTGAGGGAAATTGACCATGAGGATGCACATTTTTTAAAATACCGGTGACACGTCGAGTTTTTCCCCTTTCTTCGTGCGTTGAGCCATAGTTTCGTCTTTTGCTTTTGGGGTCTAATGTTGAATGCCGTAGTTTCCCCACTTTATCGTCCCTCGTCAAGCACAGGTGTCTTGCTATGTTTATTCTTCTGAAGAAATCAAACACACAATTACGGGACACTTTTGCTGGACTGTTTCAGATTTCTATATTGCAGCTTTTTTTTCGAATATGTTCCGATTTTGAGAACTTCAGATTCGCGTCTGCCTTAGAAGGTGCAAGCGTCATGTGTCTAGAGACATTCAAGTTTTATATCCAAATGATTGAATTTCAGAATAAAGAACAATACTCAGAACTTTATTTTATTCAAATATTCGTGTCTAAAACGTTTCTTGTTCTTCTTCCCTGAACGAGTGGTTGTACACCGGTTCATAATGCCTCGAATCTTATCTGTTCATTTTTATGTTGTTTCGGTACACTTATGTGAGTCAATTTTTGCCATTTTCCCCTTATCTATCATGTTTGTTCAATAAGGCATTCACTTTAAAGCAAATTCTTACTCATTCTTTCTTTTTTATAACTATTCACAACTCTTTACAAAGAAGTATTATTTTTCTTTTTTATATTATTAAAAATAGTACTTGATACGAATTCGCCCTCATATAATATATATACCCTCTGTTCAATTTAAGATAGTGGCCATATTGCCCTTGTCGTTTTAAGGAAAAAGGAAAAACCATGTCAGTCAAGGCTAATATTAAGTTGACAATCTACCGAGGAGAATCGCTTGTTTCCCTCAATCCAGGTGGCACTTCCAATCCGTACGTTACCGCCACAATCGGCAGTCAGTCCGTCTCGACCTCAGTGGTAAACAAGACAACCAATCCGAATTTTAACAGTACCTTTACTTTTCTGAACTGCTCCCTGCCATGTATTGCGACACTCCGGGTCTTCAATAAACTGCCATTTGTGGAGGTAGAGGACCCTATGGGTAGCGCCACCGTCACTTTATTCGACTTCACGACCGAGCCTGTCGAGAAAACGGTTCAGCTCAGCCACAGCGGCAACGTCTTTTTGGCGCAGCGTTCACAGAATGGGAACTGTGGTAGCCTTTTGATTTCATACGAAATCGCACAAGCGAGCCCGGAGGGTGAGCAACTGCATCCCAACGAAGTCAATGCGTCGAACAAGGCAAACAACGCGGGTATGTCTATATGCGAGGCAGCGCCTCTTCTTATGCCCGTGCCACAGCCGGCAAACATTACCGGAGTGCCAGCCCACCCAGTTGTGTTGCCCACCGGTGATTCGGCGTCCACGGCGTCCTCGACGTCGACGCAAAATGTGCTTCCAGCGGCTGACGCGATCGCGCCAAGCGCCATCGTTCTCTCACAGGGCGAGCCGCGTGATGTGAAACAGCTCGCCTCGCTGTCTGCCAACTTGACGCCCCCTTCGATGGTGGCCACATCGTTTCCGGATAAACTGGACTTTCTTGTGGCGAATTCGGCACCCGCACCACCAGCGGTCACGGACTCAGCCCCAGTGATGAACACCTCTGGACTCTCTGGCTACGTAAGCTATCCCGTTCCTGGGGTGAACGTCCCCTCCCCCGATCCATCCTCTCTCGCGCAGGATCAGCACCTCAGCAACATTCAACCGGACCGGCCCAAGGAGCAGTACTACGCGAATAATGCCTTAACCGGTATCCAAGACTTTTCCAGCCCCCCGTCGAACGCTGTGACGAGCCACCCAACGAGCACCGGATTTCAGAACACGCTGCCGGTCGCCAGTCCGGCAACACATACGTCTGAGAACACCCCAAGCAACCCACACGACCCCACCGCGTTGGCGAGGACCCCCGCCCACCCCCCCTCCCCGGCGCTCAGCTCCACGCTCTTCCCCAGCGCCGCGCAGCCCCCTTTGGCGCTCCCACAGCCCCTCCAGGCCGTCGCGCCGAGCATCGACGCGCTCCCACCGCCGCCCCTC